CAAGTTAATCAAAAAACTTAACGCAACATTTACATGTAGATATATCAAGTATATACGTTATCAATATATATTGATTATTAAAAAAGTTTTCTATCAGAATTTTATCCGATACAAAAATATATATTCTACCTCTACTGATTTTCACCAAATAATAGTAAATTGACCCATTTTCCTGATTCTCTGAAAGTATATTTTTTTTGTATCGGTATAATAAACAGTTAAAGTATATATATCATTAAAGGAGTCAGCAAGATTCCAGTTCTCATCGAGCAAGGCTATATTTCCCTCGGCTTCGCCTCGGGAAATAGGCTTGCTCTTGGGGAACTGAAATCTTGCTGACTTCGCCTCGGAAAATAGCTTGCTCTTTGGAGTTCGTGTATATCCTAATACTATTGTCGTCTTAAATGATTGATTAGTCGGGAAAAAATACGAAACTGTTTAATTCGAATAGCCTTTTACATGTATCTACTTATTATTGTAATACATGTAATAGTTTTCATTATCATTAACATCAACTACTACCGACGCACGTTCCTGGGATAATTTTTTTCAAAGACAAATTTGTTGGAATATTAAATTCAAATCCGTAAATAATAACTCCAATCTTTAAATAATATAATAAAATAAAAACGTTTTAAACTTTAAAGTTGTTACAAATAAAAAAAAAAATATCTAAAGGGGTTTGTACTGAAATAATTCGGCCAAACGGCCGGGGAGGGGGGGGGGATCAAGTCATATGTTTTGGAGGGCGCGTATCATAACCGCTACATTTTCAAAATTTTCATTACCGCTACATGTACATACTCATTGCCTCTACAAAAAAGATTGTATTACCGCTACATTGCCTCGTTCGTTAAAGCCAGCAGCTTTTTCATGTACATATTGGTTAAAAGTACAACAAACACATGTACAAGACTTTTTTCTGCTCACCACGAGGGAAGTGTATGTAGGACTTTGAGCAGATTTTTTTCCACTTTTTTTTATGAAATCTATTTTATGTAATAAAACCTTTTAGAAAATATTAAAACAGAGAAATTGTTCATGGATAAAACACACAGTCTTCACAGAATTGATAGATCTTTGAAGGTCTTTTGCTTGACGTAGGCCTATTGCTGTCTGGAAATCTCATCATTTTCATATTTTGCGTACAGTTCTTTTTCAGACTCGTGGTGTTACTCTCCTTCCGGTCTGAATAGAACTCATGCATATTCCATGCCATTGCTGACAGATTCGAATATGTAGTTGAGTTGTAATCGCCAATACTTTTATAGATAAAATGTAGCGGTAACGATCACCCGAAATTTCGAAGAAATGCATGTAACGGTAATGAATTGAAATTTTTCGCAATGTATCAGTAATGACCTCCCGTTTTGGAATACACAATGTAATTGCATTGCTCCTCATCCGTTTAAATTTTCACCATAAACTAATAAGACATATTAATTTTTTTTTATATATCAGTAGGTTTAATTTTACCTCGTTTTAACATTTAAATATTCTCGAATAATTCCTTTACGTCCTTATAAAAAAATTATCTGATTTTTTAAATCAGATCTCCATTCGAAAAAAAAATTGTAGAAAACACTATTTTTCTAAATACGCATTTCAACAGTAAACCAATAAAAAAAATTCACAACTTACACCGCGTTTATTATAGTAATATTTCAATTTACCTCGATAGGCAAACTAAATAATTAATACAGATAATTCCGGTATGTCTCAAAATGTAATGATATTAGATAAACATGTATGGAAAATTATTAAAATTAAACAGCAACTTGTTGTGTTGACACACGCGCTTTTGAAGAACTTCTTGTGACTATTGTTAATCGATACAGTGTACTCCGCATACAAAGTAAAACACGCATGTAACCAGGTGCCAGGGACAAACAATTTTAATCCGTTTAAAGGTAATTCATTATATCGCATAAACGAAAAAAAGTGACTTCTTTGATTATAGTATCCATGGACATCAAATTATATAAATACTGCATGTATATAGTTGAGGGTAACATTATACATTTATTGACTGGGTTCGAGGGCAACATGCATTTTGTCGGACCCAAGAACCAAACTGTTTGCCGGAGGCCGTTAGTTTGGTTCGAGGGGGTCGACAAAACGCATTTTGCCCGAGAACACAGGAAATAAATGTTTTGTTATTTCATTTATTTATTTTATTATTATTATTATTATTATTTGACATACAATGTACATGTATGTCGACCACCAACGAATGCTAATGAGATTTAGCTGACCCCGCCCATTAGGTGACGTAAGCGGTTCAACATCTCATCGACAGATCCAATATCTCACTCCGCGGTCGAACATCGATTTTTTATGCCCGCTCAGTAAAACATTGGAAATGTTAGATTTTTACTAGTATTGATTTATATAGGAACTAATTTTTAAAGGTATAACAATGTAAATTTTCAAATGATACCCTCTACTACATGTAGTATTCATTATAATATTCTGAATGTTTTATACAAATACTGTAAATAAAGATGAAGCGCTCGCGAATAGATTCCGGGCGGTATTTATTTGGGGGGTTGGGGGGGGGGGGGTGATATCACTCGTCGTCAAGCAATGTTGACTGTTACTAAATTCTATCTGGAAGGCGTGGTTCTATCATTCAGAGGGTAATAGTGTTTTTTAAATAAATGTTTCTCAAAGAATCAAATTCCAGTTATTTACATGAAAGTATAATATACCAAAATAACGATGTTGTATTTCCGGGCCCTTAGATACTCTTGCAAAAATCTATAATATACAGGCCAACGGACTAACAAGCTCATTTCATTAGCCAACAGAAGGAAGAAACTGGTTTTAGGTTCCTTATATATTTCCAGAATTTCTTTAACGGAGTGTGCTCCAAAGCCCTGATTCAATACCACCTGTATCCAACCTTATCAAATAATATATTATTTTTCTTAACCCTTCCATCAGTATAATCAAAGTGGAAATTTAATTAAAAAAAAAGGGGGGGGGATTCTCATACAAGTACCCAAAATGTGGAGGGGGGAGGGGGGGTTGAGGTTGCTTAACATTGTCACTGATTCCTTTATTGAATGTAGATTTGATATCCTCAATATCATCCATGAAATTTAGTACCCTGTCTTGTAGAAAAACCCAAGCGTGTGTCTTTCAGTAACGTTTTATCCTTGAATAAAGTAACTCTCATGGCCCCAGTCATCACAATCTCAAACTTCACCACACTCCCAGCCATACGTAATTTCATACACAATTCACTAGTTCATCATAAACTCCAAATTGTAAAGGACGGTGGCAGGGAGAGTGTGACAAATTTTGGTCTCTAGATTTGGTAGAGCCAGCCTGAGGCATGTTAGCGGATATTGCAAATGCAAACAAAGAATCTTTTAAGCTTGGTTCTAAGTTCTAAAAAACTTTTGACCAACACAATCAGATATACATAGATATTTTATAAAATGAATACAAATTTACTTTATTTCTTTATTAATTCATTAATGTAATGAGAATATTTTAGCACATTGAACAATACGGGCTAGGCTAGGAGATCAAAAAGTAAAACAGACTGATTCAGATATATTTCAATTTTGGACATCAAACTTCCACTGAGACCTGAAATATAAATAGTGAATAATGCCTATCTCTTTACATATTTTCAAATTTGATTTAAAAAAAAATGATAAAAAAGAACTTATAAAAAAAAAACCCCATCTGACCAGAAGGCTCACTTAAATCTTTACAAATAATTTCATTAATAAGTCAACTAATTCTGAACAATATTTGCATATAATACACTGGTTTACACAGATGTAGATATGAGCCACAACCAAGTACAAATTCAAATTACTTCTCAAATAGGTAAAAACCCTTACAAAGATTTCAAAATGAGAACTGGACCTTTATGACTAGGCTTAATTCATCTTTTTCCATTATTTCAAAAAATTAAACTCACTATGTTTCTTCAGAAAAGGGTGTACTTTTATGATCTTAAAATTATATGAATGAGAATCTAATACACTGAAGATGCCAAAAGCCAAAATGCTTGCCTGAGACATTTTGAGTCTACTGTTCTTGAAAAGATTGTTTTTAAAGATTTTCCCCCTCCATATTCCCATCAAAAATGTTGACAACTCTATACATGTAAAATTTAAACCCTAATTTCAGTCCGTTTCTACATGTAACCCCAATGCCCAAATATTAAACAAATTTAAATGTTGACACATAGATACATGCAAAATGAAAACCCTACTTTTAGCCCCAATGTCTATAATTTGAACAAAATTAAACCCATATGATGTTGTAATGTTTGCATATGACTTTGATTTATGTCACCCTGCTAGTTTTTCATTTTACATATTTTCATGCAAAACTTTTAACCCCCTCTGCAGCTCTACCCTTGCCTTAGGGGCAATGAAAAAAAACTTGAATCTATGTTCATTAAGAAACTCTTGGATAACATTTGTCTTATATGACCAAGTAGATCTTAAAATGAAAGTTTTTAAATGACATTATCCCATTTTTCATATTTCTTCATTATCTCCCCTTGGAAAAGGATGCAGCCCTTTATTTGAATAAGCTTTATTCCTTTTAAGCTGAGATACATTGTACCAAATGTGGTTTACATTGACCAAATGTTAAAAAAAATTAGAAAATGTTAAAAGTTAATGGAGGAAAACGGTCAAACATATAAATAATGCATTGTTGGACACCAAAGACTTCTTTTTATCAGAATTGTGCAATTGAGCCTTTGGATCAGGTAAGCTAAATTCCATATCCATGTTTAGCTATGAACCTTACTGTTTAACCATGCAATTGCAAGAGTGTTATATCTCCTTGAAATAATTACACCATATACAAATGTAATTTTAAGGCAAATCACTTCAATATATAATATTGGTACAATTTAGAAGATCTGAAATCCACCGGCAACTGTCAAAAGCAATCAAGTCTCACTTATAGAGGAATCAGTGTGTTTTTAAATCTACTTTTAAAGCTTTAATTCAATTGTCACAGCAGATTTGGTGTAACTTCCAAGAAATATTTTCCGCACTGGCTGGCGGTCTCTCAGTTCAGCATTCAAGCACTCAAAATGGTTGCATGATTCATTTTTTCTGATGAACACTAGGAATTTTCTTTTGTCCTGGTTTTCTTCTTCAGCCCACCATCATGTATGCATCTATATTGAAATTAAATTAAAATGATCATTTAATCATGCAAGTCTTTAAATTAAAAAACACTTCCAATCATAAAATCCTTCCTGCATATAATATACATTTATTTATCATTTTATAAACTGTATGTTGCCCTACTTATGATGTACTATTTTTTTTTAAATGTAATTCTTATACATTCTAGTGTTATATGTTTTGTTAATTGTTATTTGTAAATGAAAATAAATTTCAAAATAACAATCATCCTGTGAGTATTACATAAGCCTACTTGCAAGTGTAATCTGGTTCCCCTAAAAAATTAAAAAGGCTATAATTCTGTCAAAAATCAACAAAGTGTAATGAACTGCAAACTTGATCTGAACTTATCAAGGTACATATACACTCACATATACTTATGAAAGAAAAAGTGAGCAAGCTCACATACCCCACGCTCCCCCAAAACTCGACAATTGCAACATGTAATGAATGGCACAGTGCATTTTAAATACACAGTATAATTCAAAAAGAGGCATTACTTGCAAAAAATCATCACATCAAAACTTCTTGCATATAAGGACATTTAAATCTTTGTATGTTACAAATTTAATTGGGCTGAAGTTTCTAGATAAATAATGGAATCAAAATTTCTTGGTAATATACAAATCTATACATTATGTCTGAAATACCTACAAAGTTTCAGGAAATTCAGTGCAGGAGTTATGCTGACAATTAAACTGTTATTTAAATTCCTCAGTGATTTTGATTTGTTAATGAGTGTAAGTCCATGTCCAACACATGACAATTTACACATTTAAATAATTGATGGAAACAAAATTATGATGTAATCATATGAATTTGTTTATATACTGTACTTATGAAACTATTTAAGGCAAAGTACAAATTTGAGGGGGGGGGGGGGGGGGGGGGAGAACTATCCAAGAGTGTGTGTGTGTTAAATCATTAATATTTTGATCTCAAAATCAATAGGGGTCTTTTAAGGTCATAAAATATTTCACATAATATTTCATTACAAAAGCCGATTCCAGTGGATTTCCTTATTACCTAGCTGGAAAGTTTCTTCAATAATAGGCAAAACTCTTAAGGCAAAAATAATGGAATCGGAATTTCCTGGTAATATGTACATCTACACACTGTGTACTAAATATCTGCAAAGTTTGACCAAATTCTGTGCAGCGGTTAAAGAGGAGTTGCACTAAGAAACTGTTCATCTCTATATTCAAGATATGGCCAAAAATCCAAGTTGAAAAGTGCCAAAATTCCCAGAAAATCAAGGAATCGGAATTTCTTGGTAATATGCACATCTACACACTGTGTACTAAATATCTGCAGAGTTTGACCAAATTCTGTGCAGCGGTTTAAGAGCAGTTGCGCTGACAAACTGTTCATCTCTATATTCAAGATATGGCCAAAAAATCTAAGTTGAAAAGTGCCGAATTCCCAGAAAAATCAAGGAATCGGAATTTCCTGGTAATAGGCACATCTACACATTGTGTACTAAATATCTTCAAAGTTTAAACAAATTCTGTGCAGCTGTTTAAGAGGAGTTGCATTAACAAACTGTTCATCTCTATATTCAAGATATGGCCAAAAATCTAAGTTGAAAAGAGCCGAAATTCCCAGAAAAATAATGGAATTGGAATTTCCTGGTAATATGCACATCTACACATTGTGTCCTAAATATCTGTAGAGTTTGACCAAATTCTGTGCAGCGGTTTAAGAGGAGTTGCGCTGACAAACTGTTCATCTCTATATTGAAGATATGGCCAAAAATCTAAGTTGAAAAGTGCCGAAATTCCCATTAAAAATAAAGGAATCGGAATTTCCTGGTAATATGCATATCTACACATTGTGTCCTAAATATATGCAAAGTTTGACGAAATTCTGTGCAGCGGTTTATGAGGAGTTGCGCTGACAAAAAAACAGGACTGACGGACTGAATGACACACTGACTGACTGACACACTGACTGATGGACGGGTCAAAAACATTATACCCCCCGCAACTTGTTGCGTGGGGTATAAAAATCAGCTGAATACACATGTATCTGCGAGTGCTTAGAAAAAAAAATCCAGAAAACCAAGTGAAGAAGACTGACAGACAGACTGATGGACAGATAAGGGGGAAACCTGTAGTCCCCTCCGGTGTCACTGGTAGGGGATTTAAATAATTACATATGGTGTACAAATATTTTGGAGACTGTCTGGAACAGTAGTATATTCATTAATTTTAAAATGAACATCATAAAAATATTGATCTTAGTACATGTACATGATGTGTCATATACATGTAGAACATGCTAACTAAATAAATTAAAAGGAAGGCCCCACTTTTCAGAGCACAGCTGTAATAAAACAAAGAAGTGTGGAAAACCAAATGGGACAGACTGACAGTTAGACCATGAAGGAGAAAACCTATAGTCCCCTCCAGTTCCACCAACAGGGGACTAATAAAATAAGAAGTTTACACCCCCTCAAAAGTTAAAAGACCCAACTTTTTTTAGATTGAGATTTTTTTTTAAAATGTGATAATCTTACCTTTGGTGATTCAAACAGAATTATAAAACTTAAAACTAGATTCACATAAAATTTTAATGAATAATGAGTAAAGAAAACATTTTTAAACATTAGAAATTTTAATTGATCCTTTTTAGCAAATATTTTTCATCACATGCATCATTCTTGCTATGGCAGGTTAAAATTTGATGAAAGTAATTATCAAGAATATTAGATGTAAAGATTGCAGGGGCTTTTTAATGACAATATTGTGTGTAGGGAGTTTTCACATATATATATATATATACACTGTGCCGTAGAAAGCCTGTCCATTGCTAGAATTTATTCACTATTTTTGTGTCACCTGCAGAGCAGAGCGGCACTGAGGGATCACTTTACCAGGCGTCTGTCTAGCTGTCTGTCTGTCTGTCACACCCTATATCTCAAAATCTGTAAGAGGTATGGATTTGATATTTTGCACATACATTTCCTGGCACTACAGATTTGTAAATTATCATGGGGGTACCGACCTTGTGACCTTTGACCTTGACCTTTAAAATAGTTCATAGTGCTGATATACAACATATTTTTAACATTTAAGAGGTAAGTCTATGCTACTTAGCATGTATACTGTTTGTCATAAGACAATATGAAAAATATCAGCATTACAATCCACTTGACCTTGACCTTTGACCTTAATTGCAAAAAATATCTTGGGCAGATAATTAAACTTATGAATTTTGAATTTTGAGAGGCAGGGTTTAGATAACTGGCATTAACACATGTTCATGAGCTCATGATCGTGTACTTTGAAACCCTATGATATTCAGTTACCAGACAAACTTATTCAAATACTATGAAAATAGTCATCATGATGGGTATTTCACAATGGATCATGTAGACTAAGATTTGCAGTAAATTAATTAAGATAGACTGAAATCTCTTTTGAATGATTATTGGAAACATGTTTAGCTCATGAAGAAGTACTTTAAAAACATTAAAAATACATTGGGATCAGTTCTCAACAATGGATCATGAAGACAGACAAATGCAGTAAAGACAGACTGAAATCTCTTGGAGGATTGTTGGAAACAATTAATAAAATGATAAATAGATACTTCTAATAATTTCAATTTAAATGTTTATTTGACATGTCTTTGAGGGTTAAGGAACCATATTTTCTTAGACTGGCAGAATACTATCCATGTATGCCATTTTTTTCTTTACAGGCAAATGCATGAACTATCAGTTTATCATGCTTTATACACAGTAAATTAGTAATTAAGTAAAAAGCTGACCAGGTACTCATAGATTTGTTTACACTTGAAATGAAGCTACAAAGCAGGTGACACGTGTTCCTTGGAACACTCTAGTTTAAATATGTTGTCTACATACACTTAAAGTCTTCAGCAATCAGCATGTCCCTCTTATAAGTTAAACTTACACAATTAACTGACACGTTTACTTTCAACAGATTTTATCTAAAAATATCTAATGATTTTATTATATATTGCAATTATAAATTCATTAAATCTATATGTCCTTTATTTGTCACACATAGTCTCTTAATTAGGGGTGTACTGTTATACCAGTATATGGAGATACCTTTCAACTGAAGTTGGTTACCAGTTAAAAGCAAAAAATTATCTTAACTGCTTTTTTACTTTGTCAATTTAAAAATTAGAAAAGAATTCAAGTCATCCTAAAGTACACTGTACTTTACAAAATGTAATTCCTTTCTTTCTTTCTTTTTTTTGTTTTTTTTTTTTGTTTTGAGATATCGAATTCTGTATTATTCTATAAATTATATTCATAAACAAACCTTATTTCATAATGATTGAAGAATGCATCTATTCCTAACAATTTTACAATGAAAACTTTTATGATTTTTTTATATTCTACAGAACACATAGAACAGAAGTAAAAATTAAGTAGAGAGTCAATGAATAGTCGACTATTTGACTGTCAGTCGAATGGACCGACGATCGAATAATGAAACGAAATTCGAATATTATTGTAATTAAATAAAATTTAACGCAATAAAAGAGTAATAACAAGATGGAATTCTCATCACAAATTTGAGAATTGAACTGTCTTTCCTCAGAGACATTTGATAAGACAATTTTTCTCAACAAAAAACGGTTGATTTTCTATGAATGTAAAGAAAGTACAGTAACTTTAAGACTTAACTGTGCTTGACTACTGCGAGAATCATTTGTCAGTAACGGCCTGTGTTGTTTTGTAATAAATTACCCACTAATATACTGGGCTTTGTTTGTAAAATATTAATTGGACTTGATATTATACCATGTACCAATTATCTTTTGTTGTTTTAAGATTGCTCAAATGCAAGGAACCAACCATGGCTGTGACAAATATGTTTTGACACGTCGATAATTATTAAAACCATTCGCTTACATTTTAAACTGTTTAAGAACATTTTGATAGCCAGATTTTATCAATTATTGATTGCTCTGGCTGTCAAAATGTATCTAACTGTTTAACAATTTCATAGGCACATGACGCGTAAAAAGTGTGAGATTACCCCTCCCCCCCCCCCTTTTTCCCAATTTCATAATACATGTATTAACAGTGATTTTTCTACACCCAATTTATGTCCGAATATCAGCCCTTTCCTCTTTTAAAATTGCCAAATTTTTCCCCCATTTCAGTTGCTTTTTTCCCAAAATAATACCTTTATTGCTTTTGTTAAATAGATTTTTTTATGTGAAACTTATCTAAAATGGTTCTCAGTCATTCAGACTCTTAAAATAATAGTGAAGAACAGCAGATTATTTTGTGCATTTACAAGACTTTAAAAAAACAAGAGGCCCACGGGCCTTATAGGTCACCTGAGTATTGTGTAACAACTTTCCAACAATTGAATTTGGTTCGTATTTTAAACCAGAGGCCATGTAATTCACAATTTTGAAAGAGGCACTATTGCTCATCATAACTATATGGTTAGCATGCTTACTTTGATTACTTAATACCTAGAGGCAGAGCAGAGGAACAAAAACAAGAGAAGTAGGAAGATCAGGATCAACAAAATAATTAGTCTAGTATTCACTATCAACTCAGAAATTGAGTTCTAATCTGTCCCCCACTTAACACTAATCACCATGCAGCCTATTAACAAACTATCAGTGCTTCTGTACTATTTATAAACCCATATTAAGACCTCTAGCATTGACCTCTCTTATGGTCTTTGAAGAACTTTTAATAAGATAAGTTATTTTTGTCTCATTTTTATTTTTCTATTACTTACAGGTCTACCTGATTATTAAAACTAAGAAAGTACTTTTTTTAATTATACGATAAACATTCTTGCATAATTATCTTATTCTATTAACCTTTCAAATACATTATTTACAGTGATTAATTATCAAAGTGAATGGAAAAGGGGAATAACTTCTCTCAGTAGAATACAAATTAATAGAGCCCTGCCCAGGACCAGAATGCTTAGACAAATGGTTCAGATGTTTAGAAATCTGGTAGAAATACGCTTACTCATATCATTTAAACTTTTACTCAGTTTGCTTCCGATATGCCAAGAAGCAGAGAAGAATTTCACAGGTACAATGCATTTTCACTACAGATTCAACAAAGCCTTACCCTAACACCAGAACCCAAGACCAAGGGTCAAGAAATTTACAAATTTGGAAGAGTTACCCTCATCATCATTACTATGGACTTCAAAGAATTAACACTTTTCCACTATATTATCAAAAGCCCCCCCCCCCCCCTCGTTATGCCAGAACCCCTGACCCAAGGACCACAAGATTTAAAAATTCTGTTCGAAGCTCCCATTTTTATCATAGCTAAGCAATTTATTTATCAGCTCAACACTAAGGAGCCGACAGGATTAATTAATGATTAATTAATAGAATTAATGCTTTTTCACTATATAATCAATAGAGCCCCCCCCCCCCCTTCAAGAACCCCCAAAACTGAGGCGATATATTTAAAAATTTTGGAAGAGGCATCCTTGTCTATCAAAATCATGCACTTAGTTTGTTAAAATAATCTCCAGTAGCAGAGAAGAAGATTTTCAAAGAATCAATGCATTTTCACTATATAATCAATAGAGCCCCGCCCTAACACCAGAACCCCTGACCCTGGGGCCATGAAATTCACAATTTTGGAAAAGGCATCCTTATGCATCATAACCATGTACTTAGTTTGTTTAAATAGTCTCCAGGAGCAGAGAAGAAGATTTTCAAAGAATCAATGCATTTTCACTATATAATCAATAGAGCCCCGCCCTAACACCAGAACCCCTGACCCAGGGGCCATGGCTTTCACAATTCTGGAAGAGGCCCACCTCCTCCTCATAACTATGTACTTAGTTTATCACCTTAATGCCCAGGAGCAGAGGAGAAGATTTTCAAAGAAATTAATGCATTTTCACTATATAGTCGGTAGAGCCCCGCCCTAACACCAGAACCCCTGACCCTGGGACCATGAAATTCACAATTTTGGAAGAGGCACTCTTGCCCATCATAACTATGTACTTAGTTACTTTATTAAATATCCAGAAGCAGAGAAGAAGATTTTCAAAGAATTAATGCATTTTCACTATATAATCAATAGAGCCCCGCCCTAACACCAGAACCCCTGACCCTGGGGCCATGAAATTCACAATTTTTAAAAAGGCACTTTAGCTCATCATAACTATGTACTTAGTTCCTTTATTTAATACGCAGGAGCAAAGAAGAAGGTTTTCAAAGAATTAATGCTTTTTCACTATATAATATATAGAGCCCCGCCCTAACACCAGAACCCCTGACCCTGGGGCCATGAATTTCACAATTTTGAAAGAGGCACTCTTGCTTATCATAACTATGTACTTAGTTCCTTTATTTGATACCCAGGAGCAGAGAAGAAGATTTTCAAAGAATTAATGCATTTTCACTATATAATCAATAGAGCCCCGCCCTAACACCAGAACCCCTGACCCTGGGGCCATGAATTTCACAATTTTGGAAGAGGCACTCTTGTTCATCATGACTATGTACTTAGTAACTTTATTTCATACCCAGGAGCAGAGAAGAAGATTTTCAAAGAAATAACACACTTTCACTATATGATCTATATAGCCCCACCCTTGGGCCAGAACCCCTGACCCTGGGGCCATGAATTTCACAATTTTGGTAGAGGGCTCAATGCTTATTACAATGATGCCAACAGTTTGACTGCTTGATGTCCAGAAGTAAAGAAGAAGATTTTTAAAGATTGCATTATTTTTGGTGGTTTTAGCCCCACCCCTCAGGCCCCAGGGGGGCAGGGACCATGAAATTCACAATTTTTGTTCCCCTTCACCCATAAATGCTGTATACCAAATTTGGATGTAATTGGTTCAGTGGTTCCAGAGAAGAAGCTAAAAATGTTCAAAAGTTTACGACCGACGAACGACGACGGACGAAAACGGATAGCAATAGGTCACCTGAGTTTACTCAGGTGACCTAAAAAAAACCACATGGATCATGTCAAACGTGAAACTAAATACATCGTAATAAAGTGTAAGATGCATGTGAACCAGCGAAACATAGGTTCATTTGTAAATCCAAGTACTAGAAGTTCAACAAGCATCCCTGATTCCATGAAAATCAAACTGTTTCTACACCTGCCAGATGCAACTAATATTGCAGAGTAAATGCAGCAATATGATTTGGGTAATTTAGAAAGCTTAATAATTAGTAAGAAAAAAATGATTTGTTATAAATCATGTCAGGTTATATCATCTTCAATGGCTATTATGATTAGGATTTCTCTTACGTCTACCTTTATGACAAAAAAAAAGGGGGGGGATAGAAATATAGCACGGTCTCAATTAATGACAACTTTCAAAGATTAAAAAAAAGAAAGTTAAAAATGTAAAACTGTTTCTAATTTATTTGCAGTAAACATTTTGAATAAATGATGTGACATTTAAATATATATTTTTACCTGTCAATTAAGGTTAATTTCAATCTTATTGGTATTGGAATGTTTTGTATCAAATTTGCTTAACTTTGGCCAAGTGGTTCTTGAGAAGAAGTTGAAAATGTGAAAAGTTTACAGATGGATGGACAGACACTGGACAACATGTGATCAGAAAAGCTCACTTGAGCTTTCATCTCAGGTGAGCTAAAAACTCAAAAGGGGGGATGTAAAGTCATACATGCACCTTGTCCTTTAGCTTTCATGAAAATTGAAATATATGTATTTAAAAAAAATCAATGAAAAACTACATGTAAAAATTAGTTAAAATTAAATGGTAGTAATCATAATTGTTAGGTTATTAACAATCAAGATAAATGTTTAATTCAATTACCAATAATGAGCTCCAAGTTTAAAGCCATATTTCCAATGGTTGATTCTTTGTCATCAAAACTCCTAAAATCCATCTTAGTCTTAACTCTCACATCTTCCTTGAATTTTTGAGAATCATGATTTTTGTTAATTTTGTCAGCTCAACAGTATTTCCTGACTTTATGGAAGTCTGAAGAAAGTCCTGAGGATTACACTCTACTATTCTTTTTTTTTTCACACTCCCATGAAATTTACTTTGATTTGTCATATTTGGTTTCTCACAATCCTTAAATCTTTCTATTGTGGCTATACATGCTTCCTTTAAACTTGGTTGATATCATGTGTTCTATGATCCACCACAAGCTGTAGAACAGGTGTCCTTCTTCTTACAGGGTTTGTTGATAAGAACTGTTCATAACTGAAAAGATAAAGTGATTCCCATCTATTAGAATGTTGCAGACCTTTAATGAAATATCAAGATTACAAACAGTATTTAAGCTCAAAGGTGCATTGAAACATTACTAATTGTGAGTATAGCAAACATAGATCTCTAAAACATCAGAGGTGGGATGAGTTGTCATGGAGGAATAAGCATCCCCTGTCAACTAGTTACACCTGCTGTGAGCTCCTTGTCATAATAGGGTGAATGGATAAATCTGTAGACAATTCAGTATAAAAATAATGGCCTAACAATTTCTGTATGAAAAACATCAGTAAACATTTGACTTTTCTGTAGACTGTATTTGTTAACAAGGTCATTGTATCAAACACAGAATTTGTAAAATGTTGGCTGTACCTGTATCATCAACTTATTTGCCAATAGCTTGCCTCATTTACTAATTGTTTGTACTTGGTACACATGCTCTTGCCCTTTGAATAAAATGGGAGACATAAACTCCATATGCAGGTGATAATGCTACATAAGTAAGGAAATTAATAATAGAAAAATTAAAGTTACATGTTTATCATAAAGTTTAGTTGTTACTTTGCCAATAATGTCTTTATCTAGTAAAATATTCGAATATAAAACAGATGTATAAGCCTCTGTGGTGTCTTTAACTTTGAGTTCAAAGAGATATACATGTGAATGAAAAAAAAAAATAAATATAATGAATATCAATCTAAAAAAATCTTTAACAATACAAATCTGTGAAGTGCCTGGCAAAAACAAGCCCCCCCCCCCCCCTGGAAATCCCAGAGGTGGGATCAGGTGTCTTAAGGAGGAGTAAGCATCCTCTGTTGACTGGTCACACCTGAATAAGTTAATGTTGGAATAAAAATGAATAATTACTGTCCATTGATAAAGCATCATAAATATATCATTATACATAATACAGTATAATTAGATCTAATCATGTACTGTTAGAGTATGTATAGGACAGGAAATACAAAATATAGTTATTTATAAAACAGTGTATTTTCAACTTCAGGTCATCATATTAAAAAAAAATCCTATATTTCGGATAATTTCCAAACATTGAGGAGGACTGGTGGCTTTCATTTGTCTCATTGTATTTAATCATGTAAATAATGTACCTGACCATCAATATATGGCATGTGGCTTAATTGTGCTATTCCACATGCATCAAAATTCAATTCTAATTATAGCTTTGCTTAGTGTTCACATGGAGTTAATGCAAAGAAATTTGATGCGAAGTAAATTAATTTGAATTAACTTATGTGCATTAAATTCTCCATGTGAATGTGGTTCAAATTTAATCTGTATTAGCTTACATTTAATTCGAGTTAAACCCTCCTTCAGTCTATGCAAAAGACATTGGATGGTCGGACCTGACCGATGTGCAGTGCCTCTGGTCCGATGCGTCTTTTTTTTTTACACTGGACAAGAATGTCCAATGTGTCAGTGTCCAGTTTTGAGCATTATTATTTTGATGCGGTATCATTTAAATGTTTGTTACAAGTAAAAAAAATATCACAGAAATCAAAATACATACATGAATGTGATTAAAACCGCATGGTCTTTCTACAGTTTTATGCAGGAGTGATCCCTTGTTAAAGAAAAGCTGTTAAGCTAGTCTACTACTCTGTATTTTCACGTGTTTCACTTTTTTACATTAGGTTTTTCGGTCTGACAAAATTTGGTTCGGTCCTGTGTGTTCATTGATTACACAGGACCAAATGTCCTGTGTCGTCCAAAAGACTTACGCATAGACTGCTCCTTGTGAAGACGACATTAAATGTACATATCTCATACTGTACACCCTCATCAAAGCTTCACAACCAGTTAATACATATTCTTGTCAGCTGATAAAATCACTTTCGCATGATTAAAATGAAAGTGAACGTTAGGTTGAATACCGATCCCGATTAGAATAAAGACAATTAAAGGACTGTTAAGGACCCTCTATACACTAAATCAAAAATGTTTTTAGTCCAAGATAAATAAAATGAACTTTTGGTCTGAATTTACTGTGCTTTTCCAGTTTTATTGGCATTAAGGTGTTGATTATATACTGTAGAAGCACAAATTTTCGTGGGGATAAAATTTTGTTATTTGTTATCTGAGGTTTTGTGGGCATTAAATTTCTTTGTTACGAATGTAACCCTACTCATTATATTGTAATGTAAAATTTCATGTCAGATTTAATTTCGTTGATAATGTTAACAACGACCAACTGACGAAATAAAGGGATACTTCTGCTTTAAAAGCATATATTGTATATATATACATGTATATATATAATTTGTAGCTTCTCTGGCCTTTCTATTGATAATGTAAATAAGTGAGCAGAGTCATCTAGTGTGATTACATTTTTTATTACTTTGATAGGGAAAAATCATAAAACCTGTTGAAATTTTTTATTTTTTTTAAATTCTAATTGCTAATAGATCCAGTTTTAAATAATGCCAATGTTAGCTTCAGTAATTTATGCATAATTAATCCCATATTCCAAAAAATAAAAATGACTTTTCCCTGCATTTCCAGTGCCTCATGTTAGAGTGGGAGGGAGTTTAAAAATTTGCAAGATTTCAGACAGCTACATATCTCTGTTATTTATGTCTCTATGACACCCTAGATGACAGAAAAATTTTGAAGAATTTATAAATATTGTAAAAACCCATAGCAAAAAGAAATGGCATTTTTCCATTTTATCTCCATTCATTCAGCATTTTCTAGCCATTTTTCATTTCAAAAACATTTTTCCTACATTTCTCTGTCTTTCAATTTTCCAAAAACATTTTTTCAAAACCATTTAAAAACCATTTTTGTTAGAAAATGCTTTGTAAATGGTAAATTTGCACCATTTTCTGTCCATTTACTCGAGCAAATGGAAAAGAAATGCTAGATTGGTGATCTACTTTGCTTGAGCTTGCCATTTTTCTTCCATTTGTTTTCTGAGAAATGGAAAAATGAAGAAATGGTTCGTTTTAGGCATACTCTTAACCCTTAAGATTTGTCAGCAGTTAATTGATGCCAGGTGCCAAGTTTTTATAATGGGGCACTGGCTATCAGATTTCCTCCCCAGCTCTGTGGTGACCGCCTTTTTCAGTTATTTTAAACATTGGACAAGAGCACTTCGACCTAGCTGGTAGTGATGGAGCTTAAATGGCTGAATTATTCTTCAAGGAAGATTGGGGTTTTTAGTGTTTTTGATGCTGAAAAAACTGTACATTGATGACAAAGCAGAATTATAAGATTACTAACTTCTTGGAGGATGATTATCTAACATTTTTAATATGTTTCTAATATTCGGGAAGTGGTGCAGAAGAAATACAAGACATTTACCATCACTGAAAGGGTATTCCTTTTGAGAAGTAAGTATGAATATGTACATATATTTATTAACGTCAACAACAGAAAAATGCTTTTTCTAAAGAGAACACAATTTAGGAGTGTCCACTGATTTTATTGATGCAATAATTAATTTATAAATCACTTCAATTATAGTTCTTTTATAACTATTTTCTTTCTCAATTTTCTCAAGTAAATGGTTAAATTTCCTTGCAATCTGTTCAACCAATTAAGTCATTTGTTTCTGATAAAATAGTGAATACAGGCAGGGCAATTTTCTTGCATGTGTACTTAAATTGTTCATAAGGACACACATTCTCGTAAAAGTTATTCAATTTACGCTAGGTACAGGAATTAATGATCAGCTGCAGTATAGTGAAAAAAAGTGACAAAGCAAGTTTTCTGGTATTTTCTCATTATGCATTTTCTTTTATTTTTAGAATACGTATACTGCTTGCAGATATGGAGCACCAAAATGAACGTGGAAACTGTAAATTTTCAAAGAACTACCATTATTCAGATCGAATTGGGAGAATCCATCAAAATTTCTAGGAATTCAAAACCAAGTTTGTGAAAAAATAAACAAGTGAAGTTTGTTTCATGACTGACTCTACTACCAAGAAGATGGATTTTCAAAGTGCTTATTCTGTGGATATTGAGAACCCAGCTTTTTACATTTTTCAATTATTCTAAAAATGTTTTTAAAATGGATATTAAATGGTTAAAACAAAAACCATTTATTTTTCATTTTCTTCTCATTTGCATAAATGGTTTTGGAATGGTTAATTTGCATGTTATAAGGCCCAAAAAAATGGAGTTTGAATGGAGGTTAAATGAGGTTTGAATGGAAATAAAATGAAAAATGGTTTTTAAATGATCATCCTTTCTGTTGAAAATTCTTGAAAGAGTTGACAATATAAAATGGCTCTTGAATGGTTTTAAAATGGTCAGAAAAGAAATGTCTTTTAAATGGTATTTAAATGGATTTCATTTTGATAAGGGAAAGGTCCACATCGCTGTAACATATAAGGAGTAAATTACTTAAATTGCGTCTGTCTACTCTCTACTGTATAAATACATTCATTGTTCTTTGTTTTTGTTTTTTTTTTTTTTGTTTTTTTTTAATTATGGATTGTATATGTATTGCTTGACCCATATGGGTGTATTATGCAATAAAGAATTAATTATACCCCAATAAATACATGTACAGTGTGTACCCCTCCCCTTTTTTTTTTTTTTTTTTTTTTTTTTTTTTGCTGAAAATAAAAGTGTGCACACCATAAAAGAGAATTTATAGTACCGGTAATTCGTATTTGTTTAATATATTAATACATTACATGGTATGCCCTGATGACAACAATGGCCAATGGTGTAGTATTAATTATGTGTCCTGTTTATTATGGAAAATAGCTAAATAGTGAAAATTATCAGTATGACTGTCAGTTGCAAACATCTTTTTTTTAATCCCATTTTATAAATAATTTTATTTTACTTTTTTATCTGGACTACATGTATTATTGGTGAAGTTCTCTGTCTTTTAAACTGAACCTTTAATTTTTTTTTTATACTGATACAATTACTGATAACATACAGACTTAATTTTAAATTTATTGATCCTCCCAAAATTGCCGGTCTTGGACCAACAGACTGTCATTAAGGTAAATAAATATTACATGTAAAACACTGATTCATGATGATGACTGTAGTATGAAACAATGCAGGAAAACGTATACAGATCATGCTGATACACAAACACATCATCATGAACTCAGATCATTAGAACTTCAGGTAGTGTTTGTTTTTTTTCCTGACATGTAGCTTAATTTTCACTATTAAATGAATATTATATAATTGCATTCATACCATAACTTCTCCCTGCTGTGTTCTGAGAATCCATGAACATTGATAATTTCTGATCCGAAATCAATTAATCTACCTGAAATGTATGAAAACATCAGTTTTAAAACATGAATTCCATGATAAATAAACATGATAAATAGGAAAATATTCTTAATTACTGTAACTTAGTAGAAGTCACATCATTTTCATGAATCATCACAGCTATATACACATATTCTCTCAAAATTGCCCCAATGCAATAATGAGTGCATGTCAATAAAATGACCAGTATCAATCTTTAAATTCTCATACTTTGAATTAGGGCATGTCACTGTCTAAATGCACAGCATGTCTTTGACATTAATATCAACTTATATAGCTGCACTATATCCCTAGTTTGCCAGGGCTAGAAGACCACGTTGAAGCAGGGACCTATACATGCTTAACAATTAAATCATTATGTCCCTGGGAGAAGTAAACAGCTTAGTCACCCCCCCCCCCCCCCCCCTTCATCATTTAAACGTGCAGAAGTTATTTCTAATATTTACATCTCAGATGTACATGTGTTTTTTTAGTTGACAGCTTACATGTAATATGTACACAATATTAATAATGATTTTAGCAGCCCACGTACCTATATATAACCCAGGCAGACTGAACGTTTCCCCGGCCCATAACTGCATAACAGTCATGGCGTGACCGACTCTACTTTCGTTTTTAATATGAAACCTTCGAACTTGACATGACACATAAACAAGATGCGAAACGCAAGAAAACATTTAAAATTTCTGACAGTATATTTTGCTACACATTGCAAAAGATCAACGTTGATTCAATAAAATTGAAATATTAGATGCACGTACATACAGAAATAGTTCCTCTCCGCGAGTACAACACATGCCAATACGGAATGTGTTTACCTTCCCAGAGACATAGATATAGAAAAGATTTCTTTATGTTTTTACTAACATAAATAATAATAACTTTCAGTATATTGGTTTTAACCATTTATACTGCAATCATGCAACGATGCACATTGTAACTACACCACATATACATGTATACATTCCCTAGGTAAATTACTGAGTAGACAATAATGCCGTAATGTCATAATGGACACATATCTTTACTCATTAATTCATAAATATTTTATACATAAAATTTATTTATTTATATTTACGGATTTTTCACTTACCTTTTACAAAGTTTACTTCGTCCTCATGTACATGACTAAGTGTGAAACGGGTACTGTATTATGATGTCATTTACGACGTCATTTGATGTAACGAGCATGCGCACTCGCAATGTGTGTAAGTCTCGCCGAGAAGAAAAAATGATGGATCGGTGATCATCTTATACACACTCATTACACAGATCTCATGCATCCGGTCAAATTAACACTTCATTTTTTTGAAATGGGATGCATCCTAGGACATTTTCTAGTTGATTTATGACAAAATCCAACTGAACACCACCATTTCGTGTTCATTTGGATTTTTCCGTGTTCATTTAAACGTGTGCCGTCTAAAGCACGTGTCCAATTGACAGGGTTTACAAACACACACACACACACACACACACACACACACACATATATATATATATATATATATATATATATATATATATATATATATATATATATATATATATATATATACATATATATATATATATATATATATATATATATATATATATATATATATATATATATACCTGATGTATATCTTTTTTTTTCAAATAGTAAAAGTCCCATAGGGGGATGAGGGACTCATTTGTATGTTTCGCCTGTCTGTATTGACGGTTTATGTTACCACTTGACAATAACGCAATTCACTGAGGGCACCAGAATACTAGAAATTCATCATTCCGGAAGGATAGCAAATCAGTATCTGAATAACAGGAATGTTTTTGATTGATTGATTGTGTGTTGTTTAACGCCCCATTCGAGAATGTTTTCACCATTAAAGAGACGTCCCTGGATGACGTTGAAAGGCTTTAAATTTTTATCTTTACTCGGCACTCACTGCAATTAAGCAGTGATGGTTCTTTATGGCTACCGTGACACGGGACCTCGGTTTTTAAGGTCTCTTCCGAAGAACCCGTGACTTTAGCCGGGCGCTTGGTGAAGGAACAGTCACTACCTATGTTTACATCTTAGGTTTGACGCAGCGCGGCGAACGAGAATCGAACCCGGGCCGCTCGAAGGAATGTTTTTGAAAGATCATGAATAATAAAGTACAAAATTTTCTTGATATAATATTCCTCCATGCTCCCAGGTTATATACTTACGAGAACAGTTTTTTTTTTTCCAAATAAAGTAAAATTATAATGATTTTAATAACTAATAATGATTTTACTTATCAAGAAGGTATTTTGGTATAAAAACAAAACAAGCTGAAAGAACTACGCACGCACGCACATGTCCATTAATTTTGAACGATTAAATTTTGATCAAACTGACAGCAGCTTCAATGTGTGGAAAAAGAATCTTTATTGGAATCGATTGAAAAAATACACACAAACAAAATTGAACTTATTTTAGAATACAACTACTAGTAAGATTATTTATTACGCCATATAATATGAAGATATCTTGCATAAGTTTTGACTACGTGTGCAAATTGTATTTTGTGTGCAAATTGTATTTTATTCATCCGGCAATGAAATTCGAGCTTATTAAACAGGAAGTTATGTCATGAGTATCACGTACATGATTTTACTTTTTTTTAACGTATGAGTCACTTTGCCACAAAGAATCTGGATCAGAACAATAAAAATATTACTAGAAGTGTTGTATTTGGAGCAAGAGAAACATTATGAATACGCTATACATTGCTGGAATTATTTGTCAGCTGGCAAGCTTTACAGGTGAGGCATTAAAATAACCTATCACAGAAAATTTCGTATCAAATTAGAGGAATTAATTGATATAAATAAAAGGTTATGTTTTTGTATTATCTGATTTCTTTGAATTGACGATTCGAATTCTAATCATTTGCATGTATCATCTTTTGGCTTAGGCGTCTCTTATGCTCAGTGTGACCCGACAGGGTATCCTAAATGTCTAGCCGGGGTTCAACTTCCGCAAGGGGAAACAACAAGAGATGTCAATTGCACGTAAGTAAAGTTTGTTTATGCAAGTTCAAATGCAATTTTCATGAAAGCAAAAATTCGTAAAAAACACTTTAATGATAACAAGAGGCCCAAGGGCCTTAACGGTCACCTGAGTACAATACAACAATTTAGAGGATCCATAAACTGATAAATGAAGCTTTGTTGCCCAACAGCAAGAAAATAGTATGATTAGCATCAACAAAATAATTGGTCTAGTATCTATCTGCCCCCCCCCCCCATTTATCACTATTCCCATGCAGACTATTAACAAAATGTCTATTATTCAACCCCATATTATTCCTTCTCACAATGGCCTCTCTTGGCCGTTGAAGAACATTTAAAAAGATAGGTTATTTTTGTCTCATTTTTATTCATCTATTATTTCCAAGTCATTAAAACTATGAAAGTACTTTTTTTATTATACAATAAATTTTCTTGCATAATTCTCTTATTCTATTAAGCTTTCAAATACATTATGTAAATTGATTAATTATCAAAGGTGAATGAAGGGGAATAACTTTGCTCAGTAGAATACAAGTTAATAGAGCCCTGGCCAGGACCAGAAAACTTGACTAAATGGTCCAGGTGTTCAAAATTCTGGTAAAAATACCCTTGCATATTAAAACTTTTACTCTGTTTGTCTTGAACATCCAAAGAAGCATAGACAATTTTCAAAGAAATGCATTTTCACCATATTATTAAATAAATAAAGCCCCATCCTTACACCAGAACATCTGACCCATTGGCCACGAACTCACAATTCTGGAAGAAGCACCCTTTCTCATCATAACTATACACTTGTTTCTTTAGTTTATAACCAGGAGTAGATAAAAAATTTTGAAAGAAATTAAGCATTTTCACTATATAAATGTAATCAATAGAGCTCTCTCCCCCCCCCCCCCCCAAACCCCTGACCCAGGGGCCATGAATTTCACAATTTTGGAAGAGGCATTCTTCCTAATCATAACCATGCACTTCCTTTGTTTGAAAAATACCCAGGAGCAGAGAAGAAGATTTTGAAAGAATTCATGCCCTTTCCCTATATAATCAATAGAGCCCCCTCCCCTCTAACACCAGAACCCCTGACCCTGGGGCCATGAAATTCACAATTTTGGAAGAGGCACTCTTGCTCATCATAACTATGTACTTAGTTACTTTATTTAATACCCAGGAGCACAGAAAAGGATTTTCATAGAATTATTGCATTTTCACTATATAATCAATAGAGCCCCGCCCTAACACGAGAACCCCTGACCCTGAGGCCATGAAACTCACAATTTCGGAAGAGGCACTCTTGCTCATCATAACTATGTACTTAGTTCCTTTATTTAATACCCAGGAGCAGAGAAGAAGATTTTCAAAGAATTCATGCATTTTCACTACATAATCAATAGAGCCCCGCCCTAACACCAGAACCCCTGACCCTGGGGCCATGAAATTCACAATTTTGGAAGAAGTACTCTTGCTCTTCATAACTATGTACTTAGTTACTTTATTTAATAACCAGGAGCACAGAAAAGGATTTTCATAGAATTACTGCAATTCTACTATACAATCAATAGAGCCCCCCCCCCCCCCAACACCAGAACCCCTGACCCTGGGGCCATGAAATTCACAATTTTGGAAGAGGCACTCTTGCTCATCATAACTATGTACTTAGTTACTTTATTTAATACCCAGGAGCACAGAAAAGGATTTTCATAGAATTACTGCATTTTCACTATATAATCAATAGAGCCCCGCCCTAACACCAGAACCCCTGACCCTGAGGCCATGAAATTCACAATTTCGGAAGAGGCACTCTTGCTCATCATAACTATGTACTTAGTTACTTTATTTAATACCCAGGAGCAGAGAAGAAGATTTTCAAAGAATTCATGCATTTTCACTACATAATCAATAGAGCCCCGCCCTAACACCAGAACCCCTGACCCTGGGGCCATGAAATTCACAATTTTGGATGAGGCACTCTTGCTCTTCATAACTATGTACTTATTTAGTTTATTTAATACCCAGGAGCAGAGAAGAAGATTTTCAAAGAAATAATGCACTTTCACTATATGTTCTATATAGCCCCACCCTAGCACCAGAACCCCTGACCCTGGGGCCATGAATTTCACAATTTTGGTAGAGGGCTCAATGCTTATTACTATGATGCCAACAGTTTGACTGCTTGATGTCCTGGAGTAAAGAAGAAGATTTTTAAAGATTGCATTATTTTCAGTGGTTTTAGCCCCACCCCTCAGGTCCCAGGGGGGCAGGGACCATGAAATTCACCATTTTTGTTCCCCTTTACCCATAGATGCTATATGCCAAATTTGGTTGAAATTGGTTAAGCGGTTTCAGAGAAGAAGCTAAAAATGTTCAAATGTTAACACACGACGCACACCGCACGACGCACGCCGACGGACGAGAACAGATAGCAATAGGTCACCTGAGTGACTCAGGTGACCTAAAAATGATAATAATTCTTGCTTTCTTGAAAACGGTTCCTTTTTCAAGAAACATTACCTTCAACATTACCTTTATATTTTATGAAGTAGCTTGTTTGACTTTTATATATTAGGTACAAACAAGAAATTACTTTTTTATTGCATGTATTATTTTATTAATCCAATACATAGCTGGAATTTAGGCTTAAATAAACAAAATACATAGCATAAAATTATTATCGGATTTTATAGAGCTTTGAGACAGGTAGCAACCTGTCTTGAACCATACAAAAGTTCTTGTGCATCAAATACAGACTTCCAGCGCATTTTACAGACAATTTTACAGACAATCAATATAACATGTGGTAAGTAACAGAACCTAACAGTTTATCGTAAGTATAAGTATATATTAAAATATATATATTTAATCTAAATATGAATATAAAACATTTTAATAAGGACTTTGAAACTGTATGATATTCAGATACCACACAAACTTATACATATATTTAAAATACCATAAATTGAATTTATTAGAAATAACTATTTATCATTTTATTAATTGTTTCCAACAATCCTCCAAAATAGTGGCCCATAGACAATTTAATAAGTGACAATTTGTCCTGTTTTTTTTTTTTTTTTTTTTTTTTTTTTTTTTTTTTTTTTTTGAATATTTACAATTTTATAATTTATAAATACAAATTAGGTAATTTTGTTTCCATCTGTGTCCGATGTTTATTCATAGATTTTTGATTTATTTTATTTTGAGGTAGAAATATGGGAAAAAATCTGTTCAATGAAAGCAGATATTATGTAAATTGTAATTCCTTGTTGATTCACATTAATCTTCAACTCTATTAAAAAAAGAAAACCTGATATGTACTATTACCGAAGTTGGTGTTGGCACGAAAAAGATCCCTCGCTGCTCAATAGCCATGAGTGTCGAGCATAGGTATAAATTTGTAGCCCGGCCTCCACCGGCAAGTGGAAGCGTCTCCATATGAGTGAAAACATCTCAAAGGGACGTTAAACAACATACAAACAAACTTTTACACTTTGTTTGAAAAAGTATCAGTAATTTGATTAAAAGAGTACGGATTGATGCATTGTTCTACACTAAAGTCATTAAAAGGAACTGAAATGTATTTGAAATGTAACATGAAATTTATCTTATTGTAGAAAAAATATTAAAATCTTGAGTACCTGTTTAAAACTACCCTTCTGTTCAAGGGCATAATGGAGACTCGCTTCTAAATGAAATAATCTCATGATTATGCATGAAAACACAACGTATTTCGGTTTCCCTTTCCAGCAGAGAATAATGACATAATTGTGACTTTTGTAGGTGATTCTAGCTGCGACTTAATCAAGTGCTTGACAGACATGGGAATAGATTTTGGAAGTTTACAAAGCGATCCAGAGAAAGTTAACTGGTATTGTCTTTTTACATTCAATAATATAAGCATTTCATATGTAGTAGATTTTGAAAGAAGAAATAAAAGCTTGTCAAATATTCTTTGTACAGCAGAACATCTTTGTCTGTTTATTTCATAATATTGCAGAGAGTTATTCACACACTGTAACGTGGACGAGCTAGGCTTCCCTTCCAAATCAGGACTTTCTTCAAATGAAAAGAGTATATTTACAAAAAGACAGAAAGGATAAAAGAACGAAAAAATCAACATTCATACACACTCGCTCCCCCTCTCCATGTCCCTGTCTTTCTCAACTATAGAGACACTAAAATGTAATTCACAAGTATTTACGGTAAATAAAGGAAAAATTCGTCAACAATTCAGTGTGTAAATAATGGTCTTACAATTAGCATGAAAAACGTCAGTAAGCATATGACTTAATGATAGATTTGCTTACAAGGTCATTGTATCGCCATAGAACTTACCAAATGATGACTTTAAACGAGACTGTTGAAATTTTTAATTACAAGAAAACTTTACAGAGCCTGGATATTGAGCATCTGAAATATAATCATCCATCATGTTCACGTTCTCTTTCACCCTATAACTTCGCCCTACAACTATAGTCCTGCTGGACACTTTATTACTGGTGACGTAAATATAGTTAATAATGAGGACCCTAAATCACTAACTTTAAAAGAGCCAAAAGTTAGAGACCCCGATCTTTCAACTGGAATCATAATTTCATAAATATTATGAATTCTGTGGAAGATTACCTAGGCGATGGGCCAGAGATGAAAAAGAGGACATTGCCACTTTGTCAACATGGATTAAATGTATCAGATGTATGTTAAAATCTCGCATTAAGCAATTGAGGTACAATATGAAAACCATCTATCCTTCTGTGTTCAGCATAACTCAGAAGTGAAAAAAGAATTTGATAGACTACATTTTCAGTATGTAGTACTAGTGGTCCCCGCTGACAAAGCAGGTGACAACATTGTCTTTGTTTGTAAGGCTTATTATTAGTCCCCTACCGGTGAAACCAGAAGGGACTATACTCGTAGGTTTTTTTTAATTGTTTTATAGAGGAACTGCGATTTAATTCTACAAGTGGCAATCCAACTTATACCCATAGCTCCTTTTCTATGGAGGAAATTCTTCAAAATCATATGTCAGTTTTGAATATTTTCAATATTCCCAACAACCAAAATGAAGTTGAAATACCATATTCATATTGGATTCCAAAACTTCATAAAAATCCTTAAAAACAGATACATAGGGGGTTCCAGTAAATGTTCAATCCCTCACTAAAATATTAATAGCAGTGAAGGAGAAACTTCAGAAGGACTGTGCAACAATATATTCGAGAAGTTTTGTAAATCAAATGTGGAAAGTTAAAAATTCAAAGGAACATTTGGAAAATTTGAAATCACAAACATTTACCATAACATAAAAAACTTACGACTTTTCAACTCTGTATACAACCATTCCCCACGATAAATTAAAGTCCAGGTTTTGTGACATCATTGAGAGCTGTTTTTTAATAAAATTTAACTTTGTCATTAATAATTTGCAAAATCTTTTTGCTAAAAAACATTCTGATTGTAAATATAAGTACTCTGAAGTTGATATTACAAAGATGCTTGAGTTTCTGATTGACAATATCGATGTGGTGTTTAGAGACCAGGTCTTCCAACAATTTGTTTTGAATTTCCATGGGTAACAATTGCGCCCCGTTGTTAGCAGACTTTTTTGTATTCATATGAAGCAGAATTTATTTAAAGTCTTATACGTGAGAAACAGAAATCTCTTGTTGGACTTCAGCTCGACATTACCGTCAGGGTAACTCATTCGACAGAGTGCTCGCTCCGTGATTGGAAGGTCATGGATTTGAGCCCCGGCCGCGACTGACCTAAGCCGAAAAAAAGAACGTAGTAACTATTCCTCCGCCAAGCGCTCGGCACTTTGATGTGAAAGTTGCGGGTCCTTCAGATGAGTCCTTAAAAACGGAGGCCCCGTGTCACGACAGGCGTTGGCACGATAAAGATCCCCCATTGCTCAATGGCTCTGAGTGCCAAGTAAAGGTCTAAATTTGAAGCCCTTCACCGGTATATGGGGACGTCTCTATATGAGTGAAAAATTCTCGAACGGCACCTAAAACAACAAACAACCAATCATTCATTCAACATGACTTTTAGATATATCGACGACGTCTTAACAATTAACAATAGTTATTTTCATTTATGTGTCGAGTTTGAAATAAAAGATACACGTACCACAGAGTCTGACACATCTGTTTCATATTTAAGGTCTTCCGTCTTCAGCGGAAGACCTTCTTGTTATTCTTCGGTTTCTTTTCCACTGTTTTTCTTATTATTTTTTTTCTTACCGATTTTGTGCACGCGATTTCTCAAAAACGGTTGGCTCGATTTTCATGAAACTTTCAGATCTGTTAGAACATAAAAAAGTCTTGATACATATTTTTTTTTATTTTGATGTCGTCACTTCCGGTCCGAAGATATTTGCTATTTAGTGATTTTTGGAGGGTCAGTTTGTCCGTAGGTTTTCTAAGAAACCACTGATCACGGGAATGTGAAATTTTTAGCGAAGACAAAGCAACATATGTAGATCTGTAATACGTAGTTAACTTTCACAGGAAGTGCCCCACGTCGACGCTCGCTATGGCCTGAAAAAAGTCATATCGAGATTTTCAAAATTTCGAACACTTTCTGTACGATATCTTTTTACTTGGAAATATTTTGTTAAAACATATAGAACAAAATTTGTGCAGAATTACAAGATATTTTAAATGGTGTCTCCAGAAAAGGACTGGCCCCTAAAAAAGGGATCTAGAGGGACCAAAAGTTTTTCCTGATATCTCAAAAAGTGTTGAGAATTTGTTATACTTCAAAGAAGCAAAGTTGATCAACATGACAAGTAGCAGCTTGTGAGATCATCAAAATGCGTCGAATGACGTCATTTCCGGCCAAACAGAAAGTAGTAGTAAATTGCTTATTTTCACAGATATTGGTATTGAATTGAATTATGCATGTCACAGAGGACGTCTGATTGTATTTCCTGTCGAGTATCGTCACTTCTGTCAACTTCCGGTTAAACCGGAAGTAACTATAAATGACGTATTTCTGCAGATATCAACATAGAATCAAATGATTAAATTCACCCAAGACTTCTGAACCCAATTTTCTGTCGGTTGGGGTCACTTCCGCTCAAACCGGAATTGATTTGCTTTATTTAACGAAAATCGGTATATATTTCAATCCTAAGAAATTCAAAAAACAGATCGACATCATTTTTGGTCTGGAGGCCTTCTTTTTATCGAATACTTTACTTTCATTTATCCATCTTACAAGCAGTCTTCTGAAAATCGGATGGAACACCTACTCGTTGCTTTGCAACGAGCTTTGCTCTAGTTGAATATTGTATTTGAAAAATACGTTAATGGAAGCGTAACATCAAAGCTTTGTGATAAACGTGACTTTAACTTGTCAATCGTCAACTTCCCTTACTTATGCAGCAATATATCCTTATCATCTGCATATGGGGTGTAAATCTCTCAATTGATTCCATACGCAAGAGCATACTTTACGTATGAACAATTTCTAAAACGAGGTAAGTTATTGACAAACAAGTTGATGAAACAAGAAAATCAGCAATCTTGTTTAAAGTCATTATTTCGTAAGTTCTTTGGTCGATACAATGCCCATGTCAGCAAATACAATCTATCATAAGTCATATTTTGACTGACGTTTTTCATACTACGCAGTACAGTCAAATGTTGACTGACGTTTTTCATACTACGTAGTACAATTAAGGTGCAAAATGGAAATATCGGCGAATTTTTTAGATAGAAAATACATTCTGTACAAGGATGGGCGATTCTTTTTAGGACTTTATTATTATCGGACAAATTCAATGTGGTTGAAAACTCACGTTGAGGACGATTAGATTTCTTATTTAGACTTTTCACATGAGGTGGCAGTCATTTTAGCTAATGTACTTGAAGTACTGAGGTTATCTATAAATTCCAATATTGCAAGGGCATAACCAAGTTAAAAATAAAAGTTTAATTGATAATTATTTTCAACTCTCTTTGTAGTTTGTGAAAAGTGCTGCGAACCTATATAAATTCTACTATCTCGACTAAAATTACATTTGTTAGGCCGTATGTTGAATATTTTGCTGGTCAAGGACATTAAATAAAGATATAATTAATTCATTTGCGAGATTTCATCAGGTTCGCAGCACTTTTCAAATATCTTCATGCTTCTTGAGTTTATGTGTAAATGCTTGTCATAATTCATTGAGGGTATGCCCTTGAAATATATCGATTTATTATGACCCTTCATTACCCTTCAATGAATCTGCAGACAAATATACGGCAGTATCGCTTGTCTAGGGCATGTGTGGGAAGTATATGAATAAAATCATAAAAAGAGACATTGCATTCAAGTTATGGCCTTTTATATACATTTACCTGCAAATAATATTTTATTTAATTACAAAATACATTTTTCATTGTATAAAATATGACTTGATCCGCCTCTAACAGTATACAAACTGCGTCAAATTTTACGATATGACGTCACATTGACAAGTGCATTGCGATTAGTGAATTGTTTATATATTGCTGTGTGGGATTTAACCAACGACAAAAATATATATGTAGTAGTTAGTATTGATGTAGTGTAAAGCTATCCAACAGTTTAAAATAGCAAAGCATTTCATTTTGTGGTCATTTGAAAAAGTTTTAATTTTGTGTGATGTCATAGTAAGCATTTCCAGTGTAAATTAGGCCCTCCTTCTTATTGTAGCCTTAACTGTGCTGCGTAATCGTTAGGCCATTATTAAAACACTGAGTTGACGACGGATTTTTCCGTTAGTTACCGAACATGACAAGACGCACACGGCGGATCTAAAGCTGAAACTTGTAATTAATAGAGACATATAAAATTTCATGACTTACGTTTGCTCGTTCATTTCAAGGAGCACACGTGGGTGTGACCAGTCGACAGGGGATGCTCACTCCTCCATGGCACCTGATCGATCCAACTCTGATGTTTTGGAGGACCGTGTTTGCTTTGCTCCCGATTTGTATTGTTTTAATGGACTTTGACCTTAAATACTGTTCGTTATCTCCATATATCATTCATGAAACAGATGTGGCAGATTCTGTAGTGTCTTTTATTTCAAGTTCACTGGGATATATCGAATCGTAATATGAATTGAAGAAACTATTGTTAATTGATAATACATTGTCGATTTATGTAAATGTCGATTTGGAGGCCACAGCAAGTATTTTCGCTCATGTAGAAGTTTTTAAATAAAATCTGCTTCATAGAAATATAAAAATAGGTCGGCTAATTAAGGAGCACAATTATTGACTATCGGAATTCTAACAGTTTGTTGAAGGACCTGGTCTACGAATACTACATAAAGGTTGTCATCGAGGATCTCTAGCATCCTTTCAATATCAACTTCAGAGTACTTGTGTGTAGAATCAGAGTGATTTTTAACAAATGTGATTCCCTCATGTTTTCAACATATTCTTAAATCATCATCATCAAAACGTCTTCATTAGCGTCATCACTGTCTTCATCATCATTTTGATGTACACCTCAGCATAGTGCACGGTCTATTTTCCATTCATGCATCCTATCACGATGTCTACATGTATCTGCTATTGTAACGAATCTTACAAAAAATACATATTAGAGAGATATTGAAAATGATTTATGAAACCTTTTTCTTAACTTTTCATACCGAAATATACAATGTCTGGGTTTGGCCAATCGACAGGGAATGCTTACGTCTTTATAGCGCAAGATCCATTCTCTGGAATGATTTTTTTCTGATGTTTTCTGGAGCCCATGTTCGCTTTCCTCTCAATATGTATTGTTTAAATAGATTGTTGAAATAAACTGAGCATTATAACTGGTCGGTATTTTGACATTTCATTATTACATGTAACACGAAAACTTTTCACTATTGATCTCTCTTTTTCACTGTAAATACACACTAAATAGGGAATATCTTCACACAATTTCCTATTCAACACCATGTTACTATGTGTAAACCAGTACGAAAATATGATTACTCATTAATTATTTTCATTTTTTAAAAATTTGTTTCAGGGATATTGCTTTATCATATTTTCTTTTCCCAGCGAGAGTTTTCGTGCAGCGCAGCCTTGCTTTGAAAGCCAAAAGAATGTTTGTGAGGGAAACACAATCTTCGAAACAGCTGCAGGTTATATTCCGCAATTAGAGTCAAGGTGTGGCAGAGGGGGTTCCCAAGGTAACAAAATGCCTGAATATATTCTACACAGTAGGAACTCGGTAGTATATTAAAAACAGGAAATATATTTCCAACTCGGACATAGGTCCCTCTGGAATAATTAAGATTGAACTAATAACCCCACTAGGATTATTCATTGTATTATTTATAGAAAATGCATGGTATTTAAAGTACCCATTGTTTATTTACATGTATTTGAGAAATGCTTTAGAAAACATCATGACTGATTTTAAGTGTCTTTACAGTGCAGGGAACTAATTTTGTTACATAAACCAGCATCAGCATAAGCATTAATAGCATCAGGATCGAGCTAGCATCAGCATCAGCATTTAAAAAACAGCATTACCAGGATCAGCATCAGCAAGCAAAGGATAAAACCAGCATTGACCTACATAAAATCAGCATTATCCTACTAGCATCAGAAAATCAATGAGTTTTAATTTAGTAAAAAATTAAAAAAGAAAGAAAGAATATTGGTTAAAGTATTCACATAATTGATACATAGTGAGATATTATGATCAAATAATTGTAAAAGGCACTTTTATTGCTTTAAACGGCAATGCTGAAATTCATTATCTACTTCCGGTAGCATGATGCTACTTCCGGTAGCATTGACCTAGTTATAAAACAGCATCAGGATAAGGATTACTAGCATTAAATCAGCAAGCAAAGGAAGCATTCAAATCAGCAAGCAAAGGAAGCATTCAAATCAGCATCGATGCTGTAACAAAATTAGTTTCCTGCACTGTAATAGGCAATGGAACCTTCACTATCCAAGCAACCTGGATTCTCCTGTTTGTTGTACTGGTCAATATGGCAGCTCTTTCTCAATGATAGCAGGATACTTACCAAAACACCGTAAAGGAACTATTTTTTCTTGGGGGGAGGGTTAAAATGTCTTCGAGTTCGTGTTATAAAGAGACCCAGGAATTCATGTTCTCCACTAAAATTAAAATATTAATCTACAGTATCATTTTTCTTCTTCAACCAAGTTAAACAATAATTTTTCACTAACAACGAAAATTTAACCCCATGAAAACCCACGAAAATAGTACTAGCAATGGATATGGAACATCCTACGGAGATGTGAATCCTTGTTATCAAAAGTGTGAAAGCAAATTTCAAAATTAATATGTATTGATCATCCGAGTGGCCTGTAATAGACTATAAAGCTTTTTCAAGACAGTTACACATCATTGTTTGACAAAAAATATAGCCGTTCAGAATAATAACGAATCGAAGTAGAAAATGATGGAATTATACACAAATTCTATAATCGCTATGCCTGTGCTTCTGGTTACAACTTTTATCCATCGGTCATTTCATTTAAATCAAAGTATTTACAATGTGAACACAAATAATAATATTAATTGTATGTTTTAAGTCCTCCATTCAGTACTTTTTATAGACGTCTTTTAATTTGTATCTTTTAAAAATCAATTATTCAATCATGTATGTTTGTAGCGTTTCAACCCATCTACAAAACCAATTTGAAGCCTCGAAGAAACAAGAGACCCAAGGGTTTAACATTCACCTATGTTTAGTGAAACACTGTAAATAATCCATAGATTGAATATAAAATAAAACAAAATAAGCTGATATATGGACTATGCTATGTTGCCTAAAAGCAAGAAAAATCGGAATACAAGGGATCACCAAAATAATTTAATGCTCAGTAACAAATCTGAAGGTTGATCTATTTACTTACCTGTACTCGTCCCCGTTTGTCACTATCCCCATGCAAACAAAACAAAACAATAGTTCTTGAGAACTATTTATAAATCCATCTCATATCCTCTCACATTGGCCTCCAGCTCTTGGTCTTTTGTGAACATTTAACATTTTAATTATTGTGTAATTTTGTTCTTCAACTGACCTTTCCTGGCCTCTGACCCAGGGGCCACAAATTTGACAATTTTTGTAGAGGTATCCTTGATCATTTTAACCGTGCTCCTAGTATATCTGCTTTATATACAGGAGGATAGAAGATTTTTTATAGAATTTATGCATTTTCACTTTATGATCATTAGAGCCCCATTCTAACTCCAGAACCCCTGATCCTGAGGTTATGAATTTCACAATTTTATTAGAGGGTTCAATGCTTATTTCAATCGTGCCAACAGTTTGATTGCTTTATGTCCAGGAGTAAAGAAAAAGATTTTTACAGATAGCACAAAGTTGATGGTTTTAGCCTCACCCCTAATGCTCCAGGGGGCAGGGACCATGAAAGTCACAATTTTGAACCCCTTCACTAATAGATGTTTTGTGGCAAAATTGCTTGAAATGGATCAGCGGCTGCAGAAACAAAGCTGACAATGTTCAAATGTTATCGCACGGCACACGACGCACGACGGTGGATGAAAACAGATAGCAAAAGTAAAACTTCTGCAAAGCAATTATACCTTCCCCTCGGAATGTTTACTACATAGTGAAGCTTCACCCTTGGAATAATCGCTAAATAGAATACATTTCTAGCTTTTGGATACTTTACTATATAGTAAATTTCCCCCGAGGAACGTCGAGTATATAGCAAACATTTCCTTGAATAAAGCACCCACCTTGATATTTTGCTATGCATTGACCGTTTTCACTTAACCATGCTTAATCCCAGGATATTATTCACTTTCATTGTGCTATCTGAGTATTGATAATCAAAATTAGCTTTAGTAATGAACAAGATTCTTAATCAAGAAATTTGGTTATTCTATCTCCTCACTATTATGTAAACTGGTTAAGGACATACGCAACGTACCTTACCTACTGATAAATTTTCAAGATATTCTTAATTTAAGATTATAGTGCCTTCAGAAGTTCGTAGACAAAAGATCAGCATGCATTACCAGGGGTTTTGAAAAGATATCAATTGATGAAAATTTTTGTATAATTCAAAGAAAAAATACACAAAAATTACTAAACATATATTCTAGATGTTTTGTTTATCCAAACTTGTTTTAGAAGCGTACAACAGCATATATAGACATAAAAATGTAGCACACATTTCCTTTAAGTATCGGAACTCTTCAAATCCAGGGAAAAAGACAATAAAGTTCAAACTACGTTGCGTATGTCCTTAAAGTGGTATCTGGTTAAAGTGGACTATCGTGATTAAATCGTAAGACAATACACTTATGTTTTGTATCGAAGTAGCGTTTTTTTTTCCTCACGTTTTTTCGAGATATGTTTAAAATAACTGTTGTGGTCTTCAAAAGAATTGGATTCTGGAAATTTTTTCTGAAAAAAAAAAAGCATGTTCACAAAAAATTGATAAAAGCTAAAAATTACTCGAGAGGACTTGCATAAACACGGCATCTTCCGATCATAAATAATTTCAGAGAGATGAAACTCACAATACTTACATGTATTTAACAAGGTGAAACTTTATACTGAAGTAGAATAATTATATTCCTATTAGAATATAAAATCAAAACCGTTTAAGGTTAGATGGGAAGGTTACTATGTGGAAGAAATAACATCTTAGAAACCTTTCCCCTTGAGGGAAGGTTTACTATACAGTATACATTAAGGTAGGAGATTTTACTATGGGGGAAGGTTAACTTAATAACATAGAATCTTATAAAAATAAAAGTTGCAATACTTTTTAACATAAAAAGGAACATTTACAAAAGGAAAATAATAATTACATTTCGCCTTAGAATATAACATACGAATTGCTTACAGTTTGTTAGATGGGTTATTATGCGGAAGAAATAACATATAGTAAAATTTCTCCCGTGGAGGAGGTCTACCTAAATAGTGGACATTTCGGTTGGGAATTTTTACTATGGAGGAAGATTTACTTTATGACACCGGATATGATTCTCTTTTTTTCTTGAATGTTCATTATATCTCACATTTTTTTTTTGCTTGGGGAAAAACAATGTACACGTGACTGCAAGTGTCACTTGTACACATGCCTTTCTTGCAGATTAAAATAATGATATAGTGTAGCGTTTATGAGTTTCTTCCTGTTTTCTGCGTTTGCTGACTCAATGTAGTAGGCCTGTGCATGCTTGAGTGATGTGTGCAAACAAGAAATTATCATCCTTTTGTGTCATGAATGCAAAGCACAATACTACGGAAGCCCTGGAGGGACATTGACTTATTTCTTAGGTGTTTTGACTTAGTTCGTATGACTTAATTGTTAATAATTATTGTTATTTATATAGAGAAAATGCAACAACACTGAAAGTTAACAATTATTTATTTGTATATTGGGCAAGTATTGTCATGGCAATATTCATGGGTCGCCGAACAAATCAACACAACATTGGCAGACCCACTTGAGCATCAACAACAAATCAATCAATCATCAATCAAATTCAGCAATTATATAAAATGGACATTCCCGGGTAATCCGCGGACAGATACTTAATCTTTACTACATACACAACCTACAATAATCATTTCAATACAAAATGCAGTTATTATAAAAGTTATCAAACCCAGTCACAAACAATGCTGTTCCCATCAGCACAAAATTTTGACTCAGTGTTAACCATTATTCAACTTATTTCACATTAATAATACTTAGTTTAAATATCAGTTGACTTTAGTGTGCGCATGCACCAAATGGCTGCAAACGGGTCAAAGTTTGCAGTCACCCCACAAAGGAGCACCAAGTCAACTGACCCAAGACAATATTCTAGTTATTTCCTTCTGGATAGACTGTTCCTAACTTTAGCTGGAAGTATTCTAGACCCCCCACCCCCACCGAATTGTGTTAAGAAATACAGAATTTCCCAGGTCAGAAAGGTGAAAGACATCTTTTAACAAAAAGGGAGATATATCCCGCAGGAGTTCTGGATATTTTATATAACAACCTCCCAAACTAAGGACATGTTTAGCGATAGCTCTATTAAAACGAACACGGGCTCTTTCCATTGCTTGATCATTTTGGGAGTACCTCCATTCTAACCTACGAAGGACCTCAGACCATATAAATTTTGAATTTGGGAAGTGATGTACCAAGGCTTTCAAGTCATTTTTTGATTCATGTATTAGTTTACACAGATTTGTATCCCTCCTACCTAAATCATTTCCTCCACAATGAATCAGAATAAACTGTGGTGGCATTTCTATTCGCTTCAAACAAAACAATTTCATTTTTAAGTCCGTAATCTTTAGTCCAGAGTATCCTTGCCACCATATTCTTTGTCCTATTCTTTCTAGCCCTAGATTCAAGCCTCCTGGTCTGTTACGTGCTGCCACAAATGCCCTCCGTATTATTGAAGAGCCTACACACCAAACTTGATATCTTTCAGCAATACTTAGTGGAGTTAAAATAGAGTCGATTTATATGTTAGAGGATTAATTCCTTGTATGTACTATCTCAATATGCCATTAACAAATAATCCATTACATATCAGACTTATTTTTTAAAGAAATTAAATTTACACCCATGAAATGTTTTTCATGACTTACACACTGATAAAGCTTTAGAAGAGTTTAACAAGTGGACACCGAATGTATGACTTATACACTTGAGACATCCCCCAACCCCCATAACTTTTAAAGCTTTTTCCAGAATTGCAGTAAACTGATATCTAGCGATAGGCTTTCCCCCAAATTGACAAAACAATGGCCCTTTAATTTTAGGTCTAACAGCCAAATATTTAGACATGCATCCCACAGGACATATATTGTTGCCCACCCTTTGAATTCTTAGTGTAACACCTTTTCTATGTTGATCAGACTTTGATCGATGAATATTCAAGAGTAATGTCCTCTGGTCAGGTTCAATTTTGATATCAGAGACCTGAACAATGCTATGTACATCATTTCCTGTTGACAAAGCAAATTTTCCCACCCGTAGAAAACCAAAAAAGGCTAATGTAAATGCAGCATTAAAAAGGTTTGATTCATAAGTATTATAACATACTGTGGGCACAACTTGCACAATTTTTGATAATAACGTGGGTGTAATGGGTAATCTTGTGTCTCGAGGGCTCTTAATCCTTTTCATACCTTCCAAAAGCTTTATTACAATAAAATTTTTTGTTTCATCCTGAAGATTCTTTAACTTACAGTGAAAACTGATGGCAGCAACATATGACCTAGCTGTTGAATATGAATAGCCTGAACATGACAAGAATGCCACAAACTGCACTATATGATTTAATGGTGGTGGCCAGATTTGTTCATAATTAAAAGAGTAACGAAACTTTTGAAATGATTCAAATCCAGTACTGTACGACAATTTTGTATTTTGTATTTGTGGACAAAGATGCCTCCAGTAATTTTTCTACTTCAAGCTGTAGATCATTCTCACAAATTCCTCTGGTATACTTTGTGGTGTCTCTTTTGCACTCGGTGCCAGGTCCCTGAAATGCCTCCACTGTTTACAAGAAATTGTATCTGCTATACTATTGAATATACCTGGTATATGCTTAGCTTTAAAAATAACATTGTAATTCATTAATTTTAAAACAAAATATCTTACGAAATCCATTGTCCTTTTTGATTTGGAGGTTTACTTGTTAACAACACTAATCAGTGCAATGTTATCAATGTGAAACAAAACTTTCTTGTTTTGAAGGCAATTTCCCCATATTTCTATTGATAATACAACAGGCATTAATTCTAAAAACGTTATATTTCTCAATATATCTTGATCTTTCCATTGCTCAGGCCATGCTAGAAAGGTCCAATTACCTTTAAAGTATGCACCACATCCCAAATTATTAGCACCTGCACTATCAGTAAAAAATTCTAAGACATTGGAATTTGTCCACTCAGACTCGGGAAAATATGATTAAATTTTTGCAAGAACTTTAACCACATCTCCAAATCGCTTTTCATACCTGTTGAAATTCTAATAAAGTGATGAGGTTTAGATGCACCACTCATTGCATCATAAAATCTCCTATTAAATGCCCTGCTTGACCTAATTGCACTACCAAAAAAATTAAGCATCCCTACTTAAGACTGTAAATCTTGAAGGGTAACCTTCTTTTTTCTTAACATGTCTTTAGCCATATCTGTCAACATGATAACTTTGGGTTGTGGTATTCTTATGACCATTTCAATAGCGTCAATTTCTAATCCTTAATATGTGATTCTTGTAGTAGGGCCTGTAGTTTTATTCTCAGCTAATGGGACACCAATATCAGTCATAATACTTTTGAAATTTTCCATAAGCCGAATACACTCTGACGTTCCCCCTTTTCCAACAAAAATAAAGTCATCTAAGTAGTGATCTAAAGTCTCTAAACCAGTTTGAAATTTTGTTAACCAATGAAGGAATGTTGCAAATGTCTCCCATACAACTTACAACTTATTGCACAGCCCATTGGTAAACATTTGCCTATGTAATGAAGCCCATCTACCAAGAACCCTAACAAATCAAAATCACCTGGATATATTGGTATTAATCTAAACACTCTTAACATCAACTTTCGCTAAAAGAGTCCCTTTCCCTAACACACAAATCATGTCTACCACCTTGTCAAATGCCGAATAATTTACTGTACATAGCTCTGGATCAATGAAATCATTTATACTATTTGATTCTGGGTATGCCAAATGAGTAATCATTCTCCAACTCCCATCAGATTTTGGAATAATACCAACTGGGGACAAATGAAGATTTGATATAGGAAGTTGACTAAATGGTCCTAAAACCCGACCTAACCCTATTTCTTTTTGTATTTTTTCCATCAACTCGTGATCAACTGGTGATGCTGCGCTGGTGGTAAGTTTTTAGAAGACACATGAACCCTTGGCCCCGAGTACTGGAGTTTAAAACCATTTAAAAATCCATCCTTTAAAAATTGGGCTGTATTTTGATCTGGATAATCGTTTAAATATTTCAATAATTGATCCACTTTAATAGGTGTTTTTCCTAGGTCCCATATTTTTCTGTGGTCTATATTGTTGGGGTCTTGTACTACTACTAGCACCTGGGGCTCGAAAGGGGGGTTGAAATCTGGGTATTCCAGGGGAAGGAAAGTGACCACTATGCTGGTTATAACCCGGATACGATTCCCCTTTTAGCGATTGAAATTGAGCTATATTTACTTGTTTCAAAGGACATGCTGAGATGGGGTGACCATTGTTACATTTAATGCACATATGCGGATACCCACATCCCTGTTTGTTACAGAAGCCACTGTAGTTAACGTTAAAACATTTGTTGTGCAATATTTTCCCAGGTGAGGATGGATTGAGATTGCACTGTGGCGATGGGGCATGCATGAACATAAGCCAAAGTTCAGGATCTATAGCAGCTTAGGAAATCGATGTGTTAACACTTCGTCTTAATCTGAACTGCTCATCACACTTTTTCCATCCCATACCCATCCCTCTTGCAGCCCCTAACCTAATGTCGTGTATGTATTTAAAAAGACCCTGCACTTCATCTTGATGAGCTGAAGCATAAATACTACTATAAATCAAAAAAGCATCAGTCCATTTTTCAATTGTGTTAATATTAATTTTAGGTTTTGAACTTTCTTTGGCAACAAGCTCTCCTTTTTCATTGAAGTAAATTTTCTTCTAGATGCTTCAGTAATAGATGTATTGTCCAATAATAAACTTATATCAACATATTTCGAATTGACAATTTTATCTTTGATGTTCTGAGAAACATTGGACGACAACAAATTGTTGACAGACTCAACCATGTACGGTGCTTCATAATTAAGCACCACATTGTCACTCAGACTACCTGATGTCTCTGTGGTACTAGTTAGGCCATCCTGCTGACTTCTGGTTGACGTACTTTGTGGTTCAGCCTGGGGCAGATCTCTGGGCTTTTCCTACTAGCTGTGCGCTTTCTTTTTGAAGTGCCTCTTGTAGAAGTCTGTGCAGTGGTTAATGCATCTTCACCTGCCGTCCTTCCACTAGACTCAGGAGGGGCGTTTACTGACCTTGGATTCCCTTCAGTAGCACCGATCCTCACTTGTATTGCGTTTTCTTTTTGGCATTTCTCATGCAACATAAAAACTTACCAATTTATCGCAAATTTAAACAGAATAAATCCATATTTCTCCGATATAGATTGCGTCACCCAATTTCCTACAACTCAATAACTAAATATTTCCGGAAATAAAATTAATCATACCTTCCCTGATATTCTTGATAAAAGATTACAAAATCAGTCAATTTCATATTATTTCTAAGGCAGCTATTTTATCACGCTACCCTGTGCTTATGCAGCAGACGACAATCCAAGACCATCGTTCATTTAAATATCAAAAATATTTTCAATAGATGATAAACTTGTATGAAATGTTATATAAAGTTGCAATATCAATTACAATAACAATTTTTTACCAGTCAATTAGTTGTATTTTTACAAATTTATGCTCTTGATAGATCTGCGTCTGTTCCCCGTTCAGCAACCAGATTTGAAAGGGATCCCGAACCCGATGTTAATTATGGAATCTCTGTACATCATTCATCAAACCCGACTTCTTTTCTTATAAAATAAATGCATCCATTTTTGATAATTAAATAGATGCTATTATTTTACAATTGTTATCACACGCTTACTTTACCCAAAACGTGGCGTACAAGATGGAGGTGTAGTCTCAGAAAAGGAAAATGAATATTTTGCCTTTGAATTTATTATTAATGACAAGATAAAGTAGCAATGATAAGTTATAACAGCTAAGTTACAAGATATATAACAGATAAGAATTAAGCAATCATAACTGTCTGGACGTTCAACTACAATTATAATCAATCAAAAACCAAAGTTACATGTAAACTAGGACTAAATATATCATTTTAACAATAAACTTAAGACAATTACATGCTCTCCAAAGCTACTTTACACTTGGTAATAACCATCAACAAAAAAGTCCTAATAAATAAGCTATAACAAATAAGTCATAACAAGTCAGTGTCCCTCCAAGGCTTCCGTACAATACAGATTGTATTTTAACCAATTAAATTCCTCGATACAAGGAGAAAATAAATTTTTGGGGAAAAATCGTCAAAAATAGTTGATACTGTAAAAAAATATTTAGCATGATTTAGTAGGGATATCCATTGAAAACGAAGACAAGTAAGTATTATGGTGTAAATGAAAAGTGTATTTTGATTCATTACGTACAGCATTTAGATTAAAAATATTTTTATCATTTTAAAAGACTAGCTATACATACAAATAATTCAGGTGTTATTTTTTAATTAGGGGATCAACAATGAACATATTTGATCTTTAAAAAAATTAATACAATATATGATCGATAGCAAGTTTCTCTAATAAGTGTATTATAAGTACTTGCGTATTATACGTGTATTTTTATGCCCCCGGATCGGAAGATCCCGGGGGTATATTGTTTTTGTCCTGTCTGTCTGTTTGTCTGTTTATCTGTTTGTCTGTCTGTCTGATGTCAACTTTAACCTTGCCCATAACTTTTGATTGGTTGGAGCTATGACTTTCATATTTCACATGTTTAATCCTTGTGACAAAACATTTCTTTTGGTACCATCATATTTGATATTAGACTTTAACCTTGGACATATCTTCTGAACAGTATGTACTTGGGGTTTCAAACTTCACATATGTATTCTTTGTGACAAGGCCTTCCTTTGGATACCAAAAACTTTGACCCTTTGACCTTGACATAGGAGTTTGACCTACTTTTGAAAAACTTTAACCTTGGCCATAACTTTTGAATGGTTGATGCTAGGGCTTTCATTCTTCACATATGTAATCCTTGTGACAAGGTCTTCCTTTGGATACCAACCACTTTGACCTTGACCTTGACGTTTGACTTTTATTTTAAAAACTTTAACCTTGGCCATAACTTTTGAACAGTTGCAGCTAGGTCGTTCAAATATCACAGGTATATTCCTTGAGACAAGACCTTTCTTTGGGTATCAACATTTTTATCTTTTGGCCTGGATTTTGACTTGCATTTGAGAAACGTTAACCTTCGGCATAAGCTGCCATACTGGGGCATCAGTGTTTCACAAACACATCTTGTACTTACATTCGTACATGTATACGAATGTTACTTTCTTTTCCATGCAACTACCAATTAAAGTAAAATATTAAACGAGACATAGAATACCATTGGGTAAATACGGAAGAAAAGATGATTTTGGAAACATATTTGAAGCTTTTTTGTCACAAGGTCAAACATAGTGAAATGTATGAAGGCTTTCAACTAACTTCCTTCATAAAAGGAAGACTGCATTGAAAATTTTGACTGTAATGAAGTATGTTTTAGCTTTATTCATTGGTCCAAAGGGGTGGTAAGCATATTTTCTGACATTGTCAAATAATGACAAATGTGAAATAAAATTAATATCATTTTATTTGTACAGACGCTGTCTCTGGATAAAGAAAAACAATTCAAATTTTTATTTGTGTAAGTAATTCTTCCATTTTTGTTTTGTTTAATACTATTGTTTTTCTTTATAATGCTTATTTCAAAAGAAATCGGTTAAAAGATTACAGGTTATATCTTTGAATTTGCTTTCATTTCTAACTAACCTTGACGAAAGGGTCAAGTATGCCTTTCTAATAAAGAGTGTCCTGCATCAATTTGTCTGTTTGTACCTCTGTTAGCCAAAGCATTCTTGGGTAAAGGGGAATCAAGTTAATTCAAATTAAAATCCCCACCTATCTTTAAAAGGATATACATACTATTAACTAAAAATGATGAAAGGTTTAATTATTTTAAACCTTCATGAAAGCTCGCACGAGCGCGGAAAATAAAATTTTAACCACTGTTAATGGAACAATTAAATAATATCTTTTATTCTTTCTACTGACAATTATTCACAGGTTTATAAGAGGAAGAAATACCTTGTTCAAAATTCCGCAGTTAGTTTTAGAGCAGAAGTATATATACCCCCCTTCTCCTTCACACATACACACACCGACCACTTAACCTTTTTTTGTAAGAACTTGAAAAATATCAACTTCATTAATTGACTTTTTATTCTTTTCATGTAAGAAACTTTATTTGAATATTTGTTTAACTATGTAATAGATATTGTACCTCGAGTGTTTTGATTCTATTTCCACCAAGGATAAAAGAAGCGAATATGTCAATTTTAATTACACTCAAATTAACAAAATGGCTATTTAAAACGCTGGCATTAAACCTCAATATACTCCAAATATAATTTGTTGAAATCATGGACTCTTATTTGAGAACTAAAATAAGGGGTTTCTTTTATTTACACATATATATTCATTTGCCAAGGAAAAAATGGTGATTTGGATGAGCAAGATGGTCATGGGTCACTTGTTTTAATAATAGTATGAACACTGCATATTTCTTATAAATGTACCTATACATTTTGCCAAAATTACACAATAAATATTCGTTAATTGCAATAAAGGCATCGGTCATTTACATTTAAGTTGCTAAATTACTGGGTGTACGGCATCATGTAATTTGTGCCAAAAAATCTTGTGAGATCCCTCCTTCTCCGCCACTTTCAATCCCCATCTTCATCTTCAGAATCGTAGGACTTTTTGACTTCATTTTTAATATGAGGTATTTTTCTACGATATTTTTGTAATGTTTTCCGTTCAAATAACTGGAAAATACTGTAAGTGTATAACATTTAGCTGTGTATTATTTTTAAGCCTTTGGCGGAAAACAGCATCCGCTTAATCAAGTACAATGCTGATGTTATTTGTATGAAAATATATATTCAGAATCAAATCAACTTTAACTTGAATGAAAATCAATTTCTGCAAATTATCGTACAAGCTTAAAATAGTACAGTTACAGTATCCTAACAAGACTATTTGAAGTGAAATATGAGGATAACGAGCAGTATTCAATCTCAAAAGTCCAATAAAACAAATTTGAAGCAAAGCAAACACGACCCTCAAAATTTAGAGGTGGGATCTGGTGCCATGGAGGAGTGAGCATCCCTTGCCGACCGGTCACACCCGCCGTGTGCTCCTTGTCATGATCGGGAAATAAACCCGGAAAAATCTCTAGACAGTTCAGTGTATCAGTAACTGCCTAACAATTAGTGTGAAAAAACATCAGTCAGACTAAATGATAGGTTGTATGTGCGGACAAGGTCATTGTATCGACCGTAAAACTTGCAAATCTTCAAACGAGACTGTTGATACTCTTGTTTCATCAACTTGTTTGTCAATAGCTTGCCTCGTTTTAGAAATTGTTCATACGTAGAGCATGCTCTTGCGTATCGAATCAACTGAGAGACATATACCCCATATGTAGGTGATAAGGGTATATTGCTGCATAAGTAAGGGAAGTTGACGATTGAAAAGTTGAAGTCGACGTCATCTTTATCATAAAGCTTTGTTGTTATGTTACCATTAACGTCTTTTTCTAGTAAAATATCTAAATATGAAACAGATGTGTCAGAATCTGTGTTATCTTTTATTTCAAGCTCACTGGGATATATGGAGTCGAAATATGAATGAAAATAATTATTGTTAATTGATAATACGTCGTCGATATAACGAAATGTCGGGTTAAAGGTCACAGCAAGTGTTTTCTTCCTCTCATGTAGAAGTTTTTGACTAAATTCTGCTTCCTGAATGAATACAAAAATAGGTCTGCTAATAAGGGGACGCAATTGGTACGCATATAAATTCCAACAGTTTGTTGGAATACTTGATCTCCAAAAACTACATAGATATTGTCAATCAGAAACTCAAGCATCTTTTTAATATCAACTTCACAGTACTTTTGTGTACAATCAGAATGTTTTTAAGAGACTAATTTTGCAAATGACCATTGACAAGGTAAGTTTATTTACGAGTTCCATTTTTTTGAAAAAGCAGCTGTCTATGATGTCAAAAAGCCTGGATTTCAAATTTTCTAAAAGTTCTTTGGAGTTTTTAAGTATCCACATCTGATTTACACCACTTCTCGAATATACTGTTGAACAGTACTCCTGAAGTTTCTCCTTCATTACAGTAAATACTTCAGTGAGGAGTAAGAAAAAAGCTTACACCACTTCTCAAATATATTGTTGATAAGTACTCCTGAATTACTCAGTATTCCTGAAGTTTCTCCATCACTGCTGTTAATATTTTAATGAAGAGTAAAGAAAGAGGCTTGGTAGAACATTTACTGGAACCCGCTATGTATCTTTGTTTATAAGGATTTTTATGAAGTTTAGGAATCCATCAAAGGTATGGTAATTCAAATTCAGTTTGATTGTTGGGAATATTAAAAATATCTAAAACGGACATATGATTTTGAAGAATTTCCTCCTCAGAAAGGGAGCTATGGGTGTAAGTTGGATTTCCACCTGCAGCATTAAATCCTAGTTCCTCTTAAATACAAATTAAAATAATGAGCCTTACAAACAAAGACTATGTTGTTACCAGCTTTGTCAGCTGGGACCAGTACATACTGATCTTGTATTCTATCTAATTCCTTTTTCACTTCTGAATTATAAAAGACAGAAGGATAAATAGTTTTCTTACAGTCCCACAATCGCTTAATTCGAAATTTCAACTAAATACCCATTCTATAATACAGATTTATTGATGACCAGTCGGTATCTAAAGAATAATCACATTCATTTTTTTTTATAACTTTCATAATATATATTTTGAATTACTCTTTGAAAAAAAATCAATGAAAAATTTCAATAGTTCCAACGTGTGAACACTGAACTCAGAATTTCATATTTACAACAGTGGATTTGGATGGTGGGGTCATTCAAGTCTAAAAGTACTCATTTAAGTAAGAGCCTCAGTTAACGTCCCTACGGCTAGATCGCTAATACATGTAGGAGAGATTAATATTGATTAAGGCGTAAGTTGTATTGAAAATAATGAACATTTAACTGTTGCGTGTCTCTCTTAAATGTCAGAGCCTTCATTTTTAATTAAAAAAATCATTTCTACTTTTTTTCAAGTGATGCTAAGGGTTACAAGACACGAAGGCGAAAGGTTCTTGCCGTAAACCTCTAGCATGCTGAAATTCCCAAGCGTAAATCACAGTTACTTGTGGAGTATTCTTATGTGGGATTTTTTACTGGTCTTTTATAAAGTTCTCTCGAGAAAGTATGTTATTATTTTTTTTGGCGCACTTTGTATATGACCTGATAACCCCCATGGCACGTAAAAGATCGTTTCTCTGGTTTTCAAAAAAGAGTAGGCTCACTGAGGGCCGCCAGCGAAACCAAAAACTTCAAAACGGGTCATATACACTTAATTTGAAAGCCGACATATGGCTGAAATATTGCCGACTCGGCGTTAAACAATAAGAATCAATCATATATGACCTGAGCAATTAAATACTATGTCTGTCTAACTATAATTCTCTTTTTCAAATTTAGCTGCAGAACTGTTGGTAGTTATTAGGAAGAAATTTCGGACAAACTTACAAAAAGCAATACAGATCCACCTTTGCAAAAACCTTCGATCTACGGCTACACTCTTTGACGGAATATTCGCATATTATATCTCGTATAATGAATGAAATGTGAAGATAACGTATAGTTATGATAATGATAAGCGGAGCAAGCAGGGCCCTCTGAAAACAGAGTTGGGATCAGGTGCCATGGAGGAGTGGGCATCCCCTGCTGACCGGTAACGCCCACCCTGTGCTCTTTGTTATGATCAGGTAAACGGAAAATCCGTATACAATTCAGTAAGAAAATAATAACCTAACAATTTGTATGAAAAACGTCTGCCAAAATTTGACTTAAATGTAATGATAGATAGTATTTGCAAATAAAGTCAATTATCGACCATAGAATTTGCTAAATGTTAATTTTAAATGATATTGTAAATATCCTTGTATAATCAATTTATTTGACAGTAGCTTGCCTCGTTTTGAATATTGTTTGCACTAGAACATGCTCTTACATATCGAATCGGTTGGGAGACATAAAACCCATTTGCAGCGGTTAATAGTATATTACGCTTTTTCCTTCATAACACATGGTAATCATTAATTAAACTATATATTTTACACCTACTTTTGTTACTTCATTTTCCTAACATTTGTTCCAAAAGACAATCGGTGCCTTAACATATCAGACTCATAAACTTAGTTTCGAACATACATGCTTGAGTCCTGCTACAATACGCTTTCGTTAAAAAATACTATGCTTTAGACGGAGAAATACTAATAATGCAAGAAATGTTACCCTTAACTTGCGAAAAAAAAAATGTTATATGGATAAATCTTTAGCTCTCTAGTATGTTTCTTTGATTTTTATTTCCAAGAGAGCTATAGTTCTGCAGTTATCATTTCTTATTCCGCTAAGCAATTAATTTACTGGGGAATGCTTCTTAATGAAAAGAGTGAAGATAACGATCACTGATCGATCTCATAAATCTTTAAACAAGGCAAATAGCAAACATGGCAAAAACATGGAAATACCAGAGACTGGATCAGGTGCATAG